TTTTTTTTTTTTTTTTTTGAGACAGGGTCTCCCTGTGTAGCCCAGGCTGGCCTTTAACTCATAGCAATCCTGCCTCAGCCTCCTAAGTGCTGAAATTACAGGAGTGTGCCGCCATGCCCAGCCAGTTTTATAATTACAAAGGACATTAAGAAGTTGTGTCACTTAGCTAAGTGACAAAGAAAGAGAGAATGCAGCGAAGTTTGCCGAGTTCCTGGGTCTTGGGATCTGGGTGTGGTCTCCCCGGCTCCCCACGTTTTCACCCGTTTCTCACATCCAGGTCCAGGCCGCTTGCCAAACTTGTGTTCCCGCCACTCTGTAGGGTTCCTTTCTCCCAAATTCTCTGATTCCAGAGCCCCTGCAAGGCGCCCACCAGCCTCCGTGTTCCTGCTGTGCGGCCAGGCTGCGGTGGGGGCCCAACCGCCTCTGCCTCCCACTGCCCCGGAGGAGTACAGCCTCAGACCTGACCAGGACCTGAGGGTGAGGCAGCCAGAAAAGGGGCTTCCACCTCTTCAGCCCCAGAAGAGCCTCTGGAGACTTCCGTGGACCAGGTGGGCACAAGGCCGTGGCCACTCACCTTTCGTGGTCTCGCTCTCCCTGATGAGAAAGGAGCCGGCCTTGTTCATGGGAGCCAGCAGCTGCCGTTCTGCCTCCTTCCGGCTGATGGACCTGAAGAACCACCTAGCAAACAGCAAGGGTGGAAGACTCAGGGGTGGCCAGGCTGCCTGCCCCGGTCCATGGCTGTCCCCTCTGTAGCCAAGAAGGAAACATTTCTGTCTTCAGGTCAGCCCTCACCACCGTCCCTCCCATCTTGTTCCATTAAATGCCCTCTGTCCCGATCCCCACCCAGTCCCAGTTCCCACTGGGCCCTGAACTTGTGCTTTCCTGAAAGGGAGCATTGCTGGGTGACCTCGAATTCTGTTCTGCTGAAGTGCACCCAGCCCAATGTGACACCTGCCTCTGGTCATCTGTCGGTGACTGAAATGCCAGAGTCCATGTCCTGCAGTGTGGAGATGCCCAGGGTCCAGAAGGGCAGGAAGAGCCCTGTGTTACCCCGGGACACCTTCCCCAGCCCATGCTCCTGGCCTTGGCTTGAATGAATGGGCCCTTTGGCCTGGCTCAGGTGACCTTCCTGGAGGGTGTGGAGGTGGCTATGGGATTCTGGGAAGCTGGACCTAAGCAGTCCCTGGACCCAGCAGCACCCTGAGCCCTGTGGCCCTGAGTCCTGTCCCTGGAGGCTGTGAGGAGTGGTCACCAGGCCTCGCTGTGAGCTCTGGAGGCCGCTGGATGCTGGGGACAGCTCCTTCCAGGGCAGCCAGGGAAGGGACACTCTAGCATCAGTGGGAAGAGCAGTGTCCAGGGCTACAGTGGAGACGTCGTCTGGAACTAGGGCTGACCTCTTCTAGCTACTCCTATCCCCACCCATCTCTGTTCCCCCAAGGCCCCTACTACACAGCAGCCTGCAGGGCAAGGGCAGTTGCCAGCCCACAGTGAGAGAGAGCTTCTCTTCATCCACCTACTTTTCTACTTCCAGGGTCTCCACTGGGGCCACGAAGTTGCTGGGTACGTAGCCCTCTCTCCCGGTCACGAGCGACCTGGCCAACCACCAGTCTCCGGTGCTGAGGGAGAGGGGAAGATGGGCATGGGACAGTGGCTTGCTGGCCGGTCCTCTCCTCTGAGGACGGCCAGTGGGCTGGAGCCACAGGGAAGAAGCAGAAGATCTTGTCCTGGGGGACTTTGTTCAGACTGCCTACTGGCCTAAGGGGGGCCCCACCTCCAGCTACACTGGACTTGTCAGGAACTCGGAGAGCGAGCTGGGTCTGGCCTGGAGGGCTGTGATGAAGGGAGGAACCCTAGGGAGCCTGTGAGGACTCAGAGCCTTCATGTGCTTGGCACGAGGCCACTGTGGGGCTTAGGGACCCTTGGGCTCCATGGGACAAACTCCAGTGGGCAGAGAGCACAGAAGCAAGACAAGGCTGCTTGCCCGAGAGATCCGGGTGAGCTCACCTCTGGGGGACACCTGTGTGTGCACACACTGCGTTTGAAACCCACGAGGAGCCCCGTGGAGGTGACACTGGCGGCATGTGGCAGGGAGCACAGAGAGTGTCACGCTTGGGGACCACCTCTCAGGGGAACTCGGCGGGGGACGGCAACTGGGCCAAGTCTAAGAAAAGCCCGGGCGACTGGCCGAGGCCGGCAAGGACCAAGTGCTGTGGTGCAGTGAGGCCCACATGGTCCCCCACTGGGGAGGGCGCCCAGGGACGCACCTCTTCAACACCTGCAGCTTCTCCCCCTTCAGCATCTGCAAGTCCCGGTCGTTCACGGCGGTATAGTCATACAGGGCCACCACGTAATGTCCTTCTGGAAAGGACAAGGAAGAGACGGCAGCACTGAAGCCAAGCAGAGCGCGATGGGGCCTGGGGTAGGGTCTGGGAGCCAGCTTCCGACCACCATGGAGGTTAAGGACGATGGAGGACCGGCAGGTTCTCGCCCACCACTCCTGAAGAAGTTCTCCAGGGGTGTGCGGCCCCTCAGAGCCCCCAAGGGGATTGAGATGCAGGGGCAGCCTTGTGGAGGAAGACGTTTGCCACCAGAGGGCGACAGAGCCCTCCACCCAAGAGAGGGTGACCTTGGTACCAGGCAGCCGCTGTCCCTGCTCTTCACACCTCTGATACTCATAGCCCCACCAGGGTTCCTCCAGCTGCCCACACCCCCAGCCACCTGGCCCCAGCCCTCCCCTGAGCATTGCTGCCTCTGTTCCCTGTGACAGGCGCAGGGAGGCCTGGGAGCGCTGCATGCTCCGCGCTGTTCTTTGGTGTGGTTTGGACACTGTGACAACATGCTGGGGAGCCAGCTCAGAACCAGGGTCCACCCCGGGAGACCCTGAAGTCTGAGTCCCTGACCCAGGACAGCTGCCACCGTGCAATGTATCACCACCACCACCATCTGCCCACCAGGTAGAAGTGGAGTCTGGGGACAAGGAGGATGGTGTGGGTGTGGAGGGTGGTAGAGGGCAGGAAGTTGTGAGACAGCATGGTGTCCTCCCCCTGGGGCCAGAGGAATTGCCCTTGAGCTGGGCATTAAGGCTCTTTAAAAGCTGGGGCTTGGTTATGCTGCCTGTGTTTCCAGTAACTCTTTCTTTGTGTTTTGGTTTCCAGGATGTAAATTCTTGACTTTAACCCCATGGGCTCAGGCACCGAAGGACTCATGTTTGGCTCCTGGAGAGACCCCAGGAGGTAGATGAAGCCAGGGCCAGAGATAGCCAAGGCTGCTTCCCCAGGGGTCTTCTCTCCAACACAAGAGAGCCCACCCCGCTGTCCCTCTTCTGACCCTGCAAAGCTGGGGCTCCAGGGAGGGGTGTCCCCTTCTTACCTTGATCTGGGGGTTCATCAGGAGGTGGAGGGGTCAGGTGGTTAAAGACGACCTTGGGTGGAAAGCACACACTGTGTTAGCTCCCCAGCCTGCGGCGTGGGCAGGGCTGGCCACAGGAGCACAGAGCGGAGCCTGTCCCTGGATTATTGTGGGGTCCACTCCAAGGAAGGAAGGTGGATCCCTGCAGAGGCTGCGCAGGTAAATTCTGCAGTGATTCCAGGATGCCAGTGATGTTCCCGACAGCCCCAGACCATGCGAGCACCTGACCTCGTGTAGGGACACCCCGCGTCTGGAGGCACCTGGCCTTCAATCCTGGCTCTGCCACTCAAAGATGAAGTTGCAAAAGGAGAGTGGAAAAATAGTTTTAAGGTATATTTTCCTAAAACTCAATGAATATATTCATAGGTGTACATAGTGTGGGTCTGCATATGGGTACAGGAAATAGCCAGAATGTGCCTAGCAATCACAGTGAGAGTGATGCATAAAGTTTTAAAATGTGGAGTGACTCTTATGACCTACGACGGAAGACAGGCGGCCCGTGGTCCAGCCAGGCCACGGAATGAATGGGCCACAGCTTTAGACGTCTGTGCGGGTGAGACTCGCAAACCTAATGCTGGATGCACCCCACTCTCAGACTGGTGCATGTGGATGGAGTCAGTTTACGTAAAGCCCACAGTGTGTGAAGCTACCCAGCGTCAGTGTGCATGGGCATGCGGGTGTGTGGTGCTATAGAAAAGCAAAGAATGGTAAGCAGATTTGAGCTGTGGGATTCTGGGTCAGAGGGGACAAACTGGGGCAGCTGGAGAGCTTCCAAGGAACAAGTCAGTTCCATTTCTGAGGGTGGGAGGTGGCTGTGCAAGGTATGTGTTTATTTTGTTGTCTTCTTTTAACTCAACGTGTGTTTATTCCTTTCTTAAATTCCATACTTACTGGACCCAGCCTGAAGAGGACTTTTGCAGAAAGCTGCGCAAGATAGGGTTCTCTCAAAAATGCAAACCCATGACACAAAAGATGCACAGAAAAGGAGCTGGGGCAGGAGCTAATTCAGGTATCCCCAGAGGTGGGATAATGAGGAATTATCATTTTTCCATAATTAGTACATATCATATGGCTTTGTAAAGTTAAAAATACCCGGCTACTAGTTATTAGCCTATAACCTGGAGGAAATTCCCCAACCTGTCCAAGCCAGCCCACTGGGCTACCCATCCATTCACCGATTTTCTCATTGTGTGTTGGACCGAGGCTCTGCTTGGGAAGACGGAAAATGGGAACTGCAGTCTCTGCCCCAGAGGGTTCCTCAGAGTGTGGTGATGCCCGTCCAAGAGCAGAACAGAGCAGAGCCGGCATCCAGGCATGACCCCCACTGCCCGAACTAAAAGAGGCTGGGTGCCGGGCAGCAGGGTGGGGCACCGTCATCCCAAACCAGCACCCCGGAAATGCTGCCGAGGGCCTGGCCCCGGAGCCCCGCATGCCCGCCCGTGTCAGCTCCCGAAGCGCCAATGACTCACCAGGGGCGGCAGCGGCGGGGGAGCCTGGCTCCGGGAACTGGCCTTCTCGGGGCTCCAACCCTTGCCCTTCTCGGTGACCTGCCTCTTGCTGCTCAGCAGCCCCATCCTGCGGGACAGCACACAGCAGACATTGTGTGAGTCCTCAGGCCCTTGGATCTCGGCAGTGAAGTGCCCCAGCCCTTCAGGTCACAGTGGGGTTAGCAGGGCCTGGCGAACTAGGCTGGGGTCCATAACCTGTAAGTGGCTCAGAGAGGAGACATGACTGTGTTCAGGGCACAGAAATCATCGGGCCCGACACAAGGGCCAGACACTTCCGGGGTGGACCCCAGTCCTGTGGGAGAGGAGTCCAGGCAGGGCAGTCTCACAGGTTCCAGAGTTGGGTGTCCTGGGTTCTAGTCTTATTTTGCCATTGGGCAGGCTGGGCAGCTGGGGGGCTGGGGAGGTCACATCTCCTCTCTGGGCTCCAGGCTGCTTTGCAGTTGGTGAGGCTTTGTCGGAACAGCTGGAGGTTCTAGCAGATTCTTCAGTTGAGATGACTTACACACAGGGCAGATCCCGCTGCTCTAGAGGTGAGGAAAGCGTGGTCCAGTTTGTTCTTGAGTAGAGAATCAGCATGAGGGTGTGGAAGGACCTGGAGACTACCCACCTGCACCAGCCCCTACCCTCGTGCTTCAGGGAGGGCGATGCCCAAGCCTAAGAAGTCCGACCTCAGCCACCCCAGAGCCAGGGCCACACTGGCCTTGGAGTCCAGTCTGACCTGAGACCACCACACCCCTGGGCTCACATCTGCCCCGAGATTAAGGTTTTTGCTTACCCTTTGGGTATAGATACCATGTCTCACCAGTCCTAAGATACACCCCTTTTTACACTCCATCACGTCTGAAACCAGGAGGTATCTTACAATGGATGGCACTTCATAACGCAATCGCTGTAGCATTCTTTTCTTTTAGTGATACATGCAATAAATGTTTGCTTCCTCCCAGTATTGCCTTGGATTTAATAAAGTCCAGTGATACATTTCTTCCAAGGAGTTGAAACATTCCTCACATTATCCATCCTCTAACTCACCTTGACAAAAGAACACCTCAATAATGTTCAGTAGAGGACAGACAGCCACAGCAACTAATCCACAAGTAAGCTCATTTTGTGTACGCCTCGCCAGAACACACTTTACATTTTAAAGAACAATCTGGCACTTTTTACATTTACTGTTTCTCTGTGTTAGTTCAGATCAGCATTACCACCAATGAACTATGGTGCCGAAATTACAAGCACCAATTCCGATTTCAGAAATTTTTCATTTTAGAAGTTTGGATACGGAATTCAGGTTTGTATGAGGAATAGCTACTGGACTTGAACAGGTGCTCATTTGTTATCTGTAAATGTGACCAGTTTTCTTCTTTAATTTGTTGATGTAGTGAATTGTGTTGGTAAATTTTCTGTCAACATCATCTGTAGACATCGAGGCTTAGAAGGTTATTTGGTCACACCGGGTTTGTCTTTTTGACAAGAATGGATCCTATTTATGCTTAGATCTTACTAGAGTGAGAATCACCATTCTCTGAGGGATCCGTGCAGGCGGCATTAGCCTGGACCGTGTTCGGGAGCTCTCTGCCTTCATTCTATGATTATGCATAGTGTAACAGCATCGGGATTGCACCCTCTTTGAAGGCTGCGGAGGACTCAGGCGTTAACTCGCCTGTTTCTGGGGCCATTTCACACAGCAGATCTTTAGACACATTTCCAGCTTCTCCTGTAAGAACTGGCCTATTCCCATGCTTTCTCCACCATCTGCCATTTGGATGATTTATAGAGACCTTTCATTCCTTCTATGTTTATCCATCTGTTGCCATTAAGTTTTATGTAGTATTGTAACTATTTTAATCTGCTCTCTTTCTTGGTTATGACTTTTCTTTTTTCTAACTCATTACTTTAGAATATAATTTAAATTTTTAATTGGATATAATTATCTGAAACTTTACCTGACCAAATAAAGTCTTAATCCTAGCTTTAAAATTAAGGAGAAGACTATAATCAAAATAGCATGAAACTGGAACAAGAATAGATGTATAAACAGTGGAATAGAATAATAAACATGTAAATAGGCAGATAAACATGAGGGCTGCATATATGAAAAAGTGCTATTTGAATTCAGTTGAAAATTGATGGCTTATTTTAATAAATAATATTGGGAAATGATTATCTACCTGGAAGAAAGTACAATTGAACCCTTACTTTACACCATATTAAAAAGCACAGCTGGCTGGGCATGATGGTGCACGCCTGTAATCCCAGCACTCGGGAGGCTGAGGCAGGAGGATGGCTGAGTTCAAAACCAGCCTGGGCTGCATAGTGAGTTCCAGGTCAGTCTCAACTACATGGTGAGACCCTGTTTCAAAAAAAGAAAAAAAAAAGCAGAGCTGGAGGTATAGCACAGGAGTAGGGTACTTGCCTAGCATGTGCAGGGACCTAGCTTTGATCCCCAGCTTGAAGAAAATCCAGGTATATTTAAAAATACAGCAATGCCTTAGTTCACAAACTTAGTTCATCCCAAGATTCTGGGGAAACTGACCACATTTGTGTTCATTACCTGATGTGGAATTTGCAAATGCAAGCAAAATTTTGCTGAATATTTCTGTTTGCAAACTGAACTGTTTGTGAACAGAAATGTTCATGAACTGAGCCATTAATGTTTATTTTTAAAAATTTTATTTGAAGAAGAAACTATAACTACAGCCCAAGTTTGGAGATAACAAAAATAGAACAGCCAGAACCTAAGAGAGAACAAGACATGCACAAGCTCATAAACATCAAACTATTGTCTGGAAAAAGAGACTCATCAAACTGAGAACAAGTAATGAACTTGGGGGGGGTAGATTTGCAAACATTAGGCAGAAATTTAGAGCTCACAAAAGCTGGCAAGAAGTATGGTGTAACACCAATCCACTCAACAGAAAAATGCATAAAGATTATAAATAGGGAGTTCTCATAACACAAATCCAAACAGCAAAGGGAACACATGAAAAATATTATTGACTAATTGCAAAATACAAATGAAGATAATAAAATATATCATATCCCATTAGACTAGTAACGTAAATAGGTAAATTGAATAAAATGCCAATAGTTCATGTTAAAGCAAGGGAAAATTGTTGGCATGCATCAAAAAGAGAAGGGTATTTTTTATGGGTATTGTGATTTCATTTGTTTACCCCACTTTATTTCTAGGTTGACATCTCTGAGAGCTGAGATCTTTGCTTTCACTGTCAAATCCAAGCAGCACCTGGCTCAGAGTGTGCGCTTAATAAATATTTATCAAGCAGATAAAATACAAAATATGCCACCAACATTTTAGAAAGCAATCTTTCACTCATCTATTCTTTATTTTTGCAGTGCTAGGCATTGAACCCAGGGCCCTGTGCATATTAGACAAGCACTTAACAATAAGCCATATTCCCAATCCAAATAAATCTTTTAGAGTCTGTTAAAATTGAGAAATACACATACTTTTGAATTTAAAATTTCATTCTGGACCTTGCAGATTAGTAAAACATCATTCTATGGAAATATATGACATAAAAATGCTTATTACAGCAATAGTTGTAGCAGCAAAACAAATAGAAACCACCAAACAAAAATCAGTAATGAAACTTCTCACCAATTAGGGAACTGTTAAAGAAATTTTACACTAAAATTCTCTAAAATATTATGCAACTATGAAAAAGAATGTGCTGGGAAAAAAGCAATAAATACTCAATGAATGTAACACAAATAAAAAGAATGGGGCTGGGGATGTAGCTCAGTGGTTCCGCCGCCTGCCTCACAAGTGCGAGGTCCCAAGTTTGATCCCCGGTACCAAATAAAAATAAAACAATATAAAGAATGTGCTGGATCTTTACCAGTGAGGCTAAGTAGAATTTCTGGAGTGTTGGAAGGGAGGTTCTGAATGACCCCACATTTGGGGACTCCCGTGTGTGTCTGCACGCGACACGGAGAGAGGCTAGGGAGGAAGTACACCCTGCTGTTTTATTTTGTCTGCTTTATTTGGTTATTTTAACTTTGGTAGTAGCAGTGACAAAGGAGGTAGAGATGAGAAAACAGAGTCGAACCCCCTTCAAGAAGGCAAATGTTTAAAGTTGTGTGTGTGGCCGGTTATGCAAAGCAGTACCTCAAACAAGTTATTTCCTAAGATGCTCATACTTATCATGGGGGATGGGACTTCCTGTGATGTTACCTTTCTTTCTCATAAATTTGTGAGTTTCTTGAGTTCTTAAGTAGTAAGCATATATTAACGGTACAGCCACAAATATGACAAGAGAATGTAAGTGACTTTTGGCAACACACGGGCATATGACCTGGAGCTAGGCTAGCCCCTTGTTCATGACAGAGGCCAGTGTCTGGCCTCAGGCCTTCCTGACCTCTTCCAGCCTCCCCAGCTTAGAGAAGATCGGTAGGCTGCAGCTCCCAAAACTTTCCCTGAACTTGGAACCTTTTCCTGTACCACTCAAGAGACGGGCCCCACTGCCTTCCTCCAGCCGGTCAGCCATATTGTCACCAACTTTAAACTTTCCGAGCAGACACTTATGTCCACTTCACATAATTGAACAGTTAAAGACCTGACCGAAAGCAAATTTCCCAAAATTAGATGACCCCTTACTTACACTTTTGGGTCCTTTGACTCCTTAGCGGTGTCTGTACGAATGGTATTCCACAGCTCTGAGGGACACTTAGGTCTACAGACCCCTCCGCACGATGGCTCTGACTGGTGCCTAGAGTCACTTGGAGGTTCTGTAACAACTAGCAGTGTGGCTGAGGCACGGGCTACCCCCACACACTTTCGGGATGGGTGGAGCCAGGAAGTGCAGAAGTCCACCCCGAAGCAAGGGGACACTGCCAGCCTGGGGTTCCAGGGGCTCGCTTCGCTTCGCTGACGCTGGCCTCCTTCCTAGTGGGGAAGGGTGGCAGGCAGTGTGGGTGTGTGGGTGTGTGCACGAGAGGTGCGCGTGAGACCGAGACAGAGAGAGCGAGCCTTGCGTGCACCCATGGGTGTGTACTTGCACGTGTGCGTGTCTGTATACAGGTGTGAGTGTGCGCTTGGGTATGTGTACACATGCGGGCGAGAGAGGGCACGCACGTGCATGCGTGTGGTGGGAGGGTTGGCAGAAGGAGGGCAAGGTGGGGGCGGGGAGCTGTTGATTTGAAACCAACCAGAGCCCCAGAGCCCCAGGCAGATCCCCTGGGAATGGTGAACGCTGCCCCTGGGGAGGCGCTCAGAGCCTGACACAGCCTCAGCCTAGCAGGGGATGTGGAGGAAGCAACAGCTAAAAACAGAGAGATGAGAAACCTTTTATTTACACTTGCCCAGCACGCTGTGGCGAAGAGGGCCTTGACGTCTATAGATCTTTGATAGTCATGGTAGCATCCATAGCCTACCTGCATTTACCCTCTTTTGCAGCTGAAGAAAGAGAGGCAAAGAAGCTTGCACTTGGCTGCCCTTGGTGCCTGGAATTTTCAGTGGCTAAACTCAGCGTCTGGAAGGAGCCTGTGGACGCTGCTGCATGGA